AACCTTAAACAATAATCTAATGATCTATACTGATTGTACGAATACAAACATCGGATAAATTCTTTATCTTTAGGGAAAGATAATGAAATCTAAACATACACAAGTCCTAACTAAAGATAATAACCGGAACGGGAAACTACTTTAAATACACATGGTGTCCAATTTTTTACTGTATTCAATAAGTAAAAATCATAAACTGTAAAGGATTATTATTACAGAAAGGCTACTAAATGAATAAGATTTGTTAGATCATCATTAATAAACCCAAATAAAGTTAATATTTTTTGTATTAGAAACAATGAGTGAAAAATATATTCAAATCAGAATTCTAATTATGAATTATCACAAGCAAAATATGCAATTTTTTTTACTGCATTCAATAAGTAAAAATCATAAATTGTAAAACTAAAAGATTACAGAAAGGCTACCTACATTTTTTAACCGATTTCAACAAAACTTCACTTTTTTTTTGGCATGTGGTGTTTCTTATTGTCTTGCACACTTTTTTCTTTATCTATACATTCAGAATGCTTTAAAAATTCCATTTACAAGACAATTGTTTATAATAAAATTCTATTCAATCGGTAGACTCATAACGATTGAAAACAATGTTTTTGTTTTAGTTTGGGTTTGACCAATTCGTAAAAAAAAAAAAAAAAAATTAAGACATGCGTGTCCGTCAACCTTAAACAATAATCTTTGTCAATTTTATTTTTCAGTCTTTATGATGGTGGATACTTGATCTATCTCTTACTTTTACATCCCCGGGCAGCGCTGGGCTCTACTGCTAGTATGTATTAAACAACAAAATTTACAATGGACAGAGTCATTATCATTTACGTTAGCGTGTGTGAACGTAAAGAGTTTCTATTTTGATGAATGTTCATACGTACTTGTATGTGTGTGTTTAATGACGTTTTCCCACAAGTGGGCAAAACGCAATTCTCTGCGCGAGATCACATTTTTTAAATGTGTCCGCTGAAATGCGATGTAAAAAGAGAATAAGGAAAGAAATCGCCCAGTATTTATAGTGTAGGGAAAGTTTTCCCTTGTGAACAATTGAGAAATTAAGGAGGAGTTAACTCCGACATATGCATTAAATTCTTACTTCGGTTACACATGTACCACCCTCTCCCGCAGTTTGATTTTGGACCAGTCCAAATTCACTGCAAGTCGTGCACATACCGAAAAGATTATAACAAACAACCAAAATATATCTATCAACATAAAACAAATATTATTCGTGGATAATAACAAAATACTCTTCCGCACCCAATGCATTCAAAGCCTAAAAGCAGTAACAGCTATTTTTACAGAAAATAAAACAGTTCACTTTATATAAAATGAAATTCTCAATAAGAGAAGGTATTTTGAAGTGTACATGATATATCTAATGTGCGTATCGTCGTCGGCATCTGTTCATCTCGAGAGATGATTGAGTAGCGCGGTGCGCAACGAGTCTGGGCGGGATATAGGGAGAACTAGGGCTGCCCAGACGTCTAGTTCCCCCTCTCAGCCTTGCTAGCAGAGTCCAAAGGAGAGGATAAAACAATACAGTTTGGTACCAGCACGGCTGCAGGCGTTGCCGGAAAGTAGCACAAAGTGCCGTCCATCCACCTTAGGGGCTTCACTCCAGGTTTGAATTCAGAGTTGTCCTTCTCCTAGACCAGTTGCCATCCAAGGCTATAGAACCCAGTCTATTGTGCTATGTACACATAGCTGGAGGCAGAAGAAGAGGATTCATACCTTTCCCAAGGGTATTAACACGTAAGTGAATGTAATGGATTCGACTGGAATTCGAACTCGGCTCACTGATTCCTCAATCCATGTCGCTATCCATTACTCCACCGTGGGTCGTCCAATGTGCATATATAGCAGGTGTAACAGCAAAATTGTCCATCCAGCAAAATGTTTAATATCTAAAAAAAAAGACAAAAACTAATTGAGTTTCTTCTTTTTGGGTGATCAGGTAAGACGTTTTAGCCATCTTGATATCTATCATTCGTCGTAAGAATCACTGAAAAAGTCTTTCAGTTATTCAGCTAGAAATAGATCAGGTTAAAATCGTTCTCTGTCAGCCCCACTGTGTCTTCCCAGCTGAACAATGGCTACAGTAAAAAAAAAAAAAAAAAAAAAAAAAACAAACATTCACGCCTTCAGCAATAATATTAACATTCATACTCTGGCTTCTATCTTCAAAGTCCATTCAAGAACCATCAAGAGAACAAGAAAGAGGGAACAGTAGACACGAAAACTGGATCAGGAGATCACAACAGGAAGAGGGATCATCATTTCAACTTAGAGCTAAAGAGATAAATTAGAAAAGATCCAACTCAATCCATAAGATGTTTGGCAAGTGAGAGAAGAGTTTCAAATATGATAGTCAACGACAGTTAAAAAAATTCTTGAAAATGAAATTAGACGTGAAACCTATGAAGCACCTTGTTATTATATATATATATATATATATATATATATATATATATATATGAACATTATTTCAATCCTTCATGAGCTTTCGATCCTTAGATAATTAATGATGAACATGTCTAATAGGGTTATAAAAACCTTGGAGAATTCCAGTAAGATAACTTTAATCTTTTCTAGGATACAATGGTTCAAAGCTTTCTCTAAGAATTGGACAATTTTGCTGTTACACACGGTATATTTATTGTTATGTCCTCGGTCCTAATAACCGTTACAATGATTACTAATATATAAAGAAAGTAATTCTGTCTACCACACAGACACCACAATGCTTCTTATAAATGACTGAGATAGTCGGAAGTACTTTGAATGAAGAACAACATAATCATATATGTATCTATATATATATATATATATATATATATATATTTCATATTTCACTCCAAGAAAGACAGGAGTGCACCTAGCACGTTACAGAGAGTGAGAATAAAGTGGTGTGTTTGAGAAAAGGATAGTGACAAGGACGGGGATCAAGATTAAGGCATTAGAAGATGTCGATTGAAATTACATTTGAATATTTGAAGATTATAGCTATCAGGGAAGCAAGTAGGAGGAACTGCGGCTTTACTGATATTACAGATAAAACTGATATTAAAGATATTACTGATATTAAAGTTAAAACAATCTGTGCACTAATGCAGTTTGTTGGTGAAAATTATTATCAATCAACATCAAAAGAACTGTTCATGAATGCGCCGGACTTTGCTACTCAGTACACGGACATAACAGAGGAAAGAAGGAGGAATATTATAAATGCGAAAAAATCGGTAATAATACATAAAGGTGATCAATAGATAAAAAAAAAAAATCTTATATCCACTTTGACATTACAATGGGATCACTAGACTCAGCTGAGTTTTCTGACCGTAAAGGTCTTTTTGTATTGTACAATCTTAGAGCCCACCATAAAATTAATATAACTGACATTGGTTTATACAGAGACGATGGACTTATGGTTATAAAAAACTCTACTAACTTTAATCTGCTTCTATCTATCTATCTATCTATCTATCTATCTATCTACGTCTGTTCATATCTATCTATCTATCTATCTATCTATCTATCTATCTATCTATCTATCTATCTATTCCAGTCTGTTTATATCTATCTATCTGTTCCAGTTTGTTTTATCTATCTATCTATCTATCTATCTATCTATCTATCTGTTCCAGTTTGTTTTATCTATCTATCTATCTATCTATCTATCTATCTATCTATTCCAGTCTGTTTATATCTATCTGTTCCAGTTTGTTTTATCTATCTATCTATCTATCTATCTATCTATCTATTCCAGTCTGCTTCTATCTATCTATCTATCTATCTATCTATCTATCTATCTATCTATCTCTTCAGGTCTGTTTCTTTCTCTCTCTCTCTCTCTCTCTATATATATATATATATATATATATATATATATATATATGTGTGTGTGTGTGTGTGTGTGTGTGTGTGTGTGTGTGTGTGTGTGTGTGTGTCGCTAACCAGGGGAGCTAAAACAGTTTCGGTAGCTAAGGCGGTACTGCCACCCGTGGCGCCACTAGAACCTTTTTTGCCACCTGACATGGTACTGTTCTTGTGTACGTGTCAGTCTCTTGAGACTTATTATTATAACTGCAATTGAAACTTTCAACGTTGTGTTAAAATAAACAACGTGCTTGTAACGACCGTAATTTATATATATATATATATATATATATATATATATATATATATATATATATATGTATTCTTTTCTACTTTTTTGTTCTTACTCTTTACTCTTTTTTTCCTTATACATTTGCTTTTCCTCTTCTTTATTCTTCTTATATTCTTTTTCCTTTTTATCTTTTGTTTTTCAGTTTTTAATTTCTTCATATTTTTCTTTGCTCTTCTGTCTCTTCTTCTTATTTTCCTATGTTCGCCATTTGTTTCACTGTTCCATCTTTTAGAACAAACACATGTTGTTATATTGAAACAATTTATTATATACCTACTCCTCTTCTTCTTCTTCTTCGTTTGTGCTCTTTTTTCGCCTCCTCTTTCTCTCTTCTTCTTGTTTCTCATATTCATTTTTTCTCTTCTATTTTCTTTTTTCTCCCCTTTCTCTATTCTTCTTCCATCTTTTTTTCGTTCTTTTTTCTTCTTTCTTTTCTTTTCCCCCCTCTTTCTCTCGTCTTGTTCTTCTTCCATCTCTTTTTGTTTTTTCTCTTCCGTTTTCTTTCTCCTCTTTTTTTCTCTTCATCTTTCTCTTCTTCCTTCTCGTTTTCGTTATGTTTTCCTTTTTGTCTTTCTCTTCTTTCTCTCTTCATCTTCCTTTTTTGTTTCTTATTTTCGTTCTCTTTCTTTCTACTCTTCTTTCTCTTTTCTTTTTCCTCTTCCTTCTCGTTTTCGTACTTTTTTTCTATCCTTTCCTCTTTCTCACTTCTTCTCCATCACTAAATAAACGTTACATATTTTCTCTCAATTCAATTTCAACGTTCTTATTTTTCTTATTCGTTTCAATTTTATTGTTCTTTAGTTTGTTTCGTTTTTTTTAAATAATTTTCGTTTTATTCACATTTTCTTCTTTTTTCTTATCCTTCTCATCTTCCTCTTCCACATCTCCGCCTTTACTTCTTCTTCATAGATATTTATCGATTATCATACAAAACTTTACTGCCATGCCGAAAACAAATAAAACAATAAAGATCTCAATTAATTCCATCGCCGCAGAGTTTTGTTATCGAACGGTTTGACTGTTTGCTTTTGACTTTTCTTGACGAATTCCAGATGAGTTGAAAGTGGATTTAGCATTCGATTCTTGAATGAAATTCACCAAAACATAAGTAGGATAGAGCACAATGTTATAGAATCGCACTTGAGGTTTGACACGTAAATTAATGACAGTTTTTGATTTACAGATCGATATTCAATTGGATATAGATATTTGCAATTAAAATGAAAAGAAAAAGGATTATTAATGAAATGTGTCGTTGTGATTTTGCTTACTAATGCAAAATCCGCTAATAAATGTGTGCTGAATACGAAATAATAATTCACCCACTCCATCCAAATCCGGGCGTGCTGAAGATAAAGACGGAAAGAAATTCGAGAGCCTAAAAACTTTAACATCCCAGAGTTTTGCCGGCGAACTGAAAAAAAAAAAAAAAACGAAAACAAATCCGCGAGCCTTTAGTAATTTTTTTTTTTGAACCAATCGAAACTTAGTTTTAAAAGGACTTAGCTTGAAAGACAAAGAATAAAATAGCGAGCCTATTTTTTGTGATGTCAACGAACACTCGTTCACTGACTCGTGAGTTCGATCCTCACTGGGTGCCCCATACTTTTGACCTTATGCCACATCTAATCTACGCTTAGAATATCACTATGTCCTGTAATATTTAAAACAGGCATTTATTAAAATGCACTACAAAGTTGTTCATTTTTGTTTCAACATCAAAAAAAGGAAAACCTTTGTTAAAACGTCTCATCAGGTGGGGAATCACAATATTCAAGGACAACGTGATTCCCCATATATATATATATATATATATATATATATATATATATATATATATATATTCATGCACGTTTCATTAAATAATATAGACAAGTGTTTATTTATTTTATGTAAACAACATTATATTATTTAATGAAACTTGTATGAATGAAAAGATGCTGCCTAAATACACACAATATATATATATATATATATACATATGTGTGTGTGTGTGGTGTATATGTATGTATGAACACACACACACACACCCACATATTTATATTTATTTATATTTACACGCGCTCTATCTCTGATATTGAGCACTTTATCCCATAAATATAGCAAATCTTAAGACTATATTTCCTCATATAGATAGATAGATAGATAGAAAGAAGCAGATTGGAATAGATAAAGAAGTGAAAAGACTCATAGTTATTATTTTAATATTTCTTTGTACATTGGTAAATCATTTTTTTTGTTCACATTGACTTTTATTTCACATTAAATTTCCAGTGAAACTGACGTTTATAATTATATTTTAGATATATTCGGAAAAAGCAGACATCCATATGCAAACGGGATTCGTTGGATTATTGAGAAAACTTTACATGCATTGACAAGGAATAAGACTATGTTAAAAAATCAATCCATTTCTCATTATTCGACCCCAAACCAATGATTTAGCTAAATCAATAAAGATCTTAAGAAAAGAATTTGATTGGTTTTCCGTGTTTTCGAAGTCGATTGCTTCCAGGAAAAAAAAGACCGTCCTCCCATTCTTAGCACTGTTCCCGACACTTTTCCGAGTTTGAATTTATTCTAGCAGTGCTGTAGAGAGTCAGAAAGAAACTTCAGACTTATTGTTTTCTTCATAGCTTTCAGCATTTTTTCTGTTCGCTAACAAAGGGTGAGTTCCTTGCAATTTAAAGTTTAACATTAACTGTGGATTAGCAAAATGGTTTTCGTGGCAAAAATAGAACTTCCGTTTTATTCACAGACATTTAATCTTGATAGGATTAAGAAAGAGAAAGTTAAACAATGTCGCAGACAGGGTGATCTCCATGGAGAAATATTTTGCGATGCTCTTGGGAGAATGTTTAATTTACATGTCGAATACAGACTTAGTTGTGTATCAGATACAATTGTTAAAAAGGAGGAAAATAACTGTCCCCCGAAGCCTCCAAGTAACAAGTTTCTTTCAGAATCATTAATTTGAATAAGAAAAGTGTCGGCCAAGGAGATTGAGTTTCGTGAATTAAAGTTACTTATCGATAAAATCAATCATATATATAAAATTTTAAACTTGTATCGAATTTTTCCATCTGGGAGGAATTGTAAAGAGACAAACGTTACTTAAAGCAACACGAAGTTGTATAGAGACATTATTGCCTACGTTTTTCAGTGGTACAGCGTATAAAAGAAATTATTTTATGCAGAAGTGCGTGTGGAGTAACGGCTACTGGCGAGCTGAGTTCAAATTTTTGGCTCATATGTCACATTCATTTGGCAATAATAAGAACTTGCAAAAATTATGACCGTATTTTTCTCCCACCAGCTTTGTGTAAAATAGTATTGTAGAATGAACGAAGAAGGAATTTTTTACATTTTGATACAAATTGATACCCAGCTGTCCTCAAGGACACATGGCACAGTGGATAAAGGCGTCGGTTAGATCCAGTGACAGGACCCAAAGAGTGTGAGTTCAATACCCGGTTAAGGCAGTGGAGAACTTTCAGAGGGGAAATCAGCAGGAAATAACTGATAACTAACATCCATTAAACATGGCACATGGAACTAGAACAGTCTACCCCCTTGAGCGAAGGGTTCATTTCGACATTCCAACCACCTGAAGAAGGCCGGAGCGTACAACGGCCGACACGTTGTAATAAATATGGAGACAGATAATGAGGATAATAGTCCGAATAATGTAAATACTATATCTGTAATAATTTGGGGTACGGTTTCCAATAATTTGATGTTGTTTAGACTGGATAAATATTTCACAACAAAATACATCTTATTTCAGATACATACATAATCCTCTATAAAACATAGATTAACCCGTTGTTGTCACCCAACTTAATCACTTTGCACCCACAATAGACTTTACCTTTGAATCAGAGTCTAAAACTACTTTAACCGTACTATATATGATACTGTATGGAAATAGTAACGGACTTCAAATTGAAGTTTACAGAAATCCACCAACAAGAATTACCTTAAGAATTTTTATTTCCACCACTGTAACATGATAAAATCTGGAATAATTATTGAATTCTATTAAAGAGCATCAAGAATCCACAGAGATCAAGGTAACTGATATCCATCAAATATGGCACGCGGAACAGTCTACCCCAGTGAGCGAAATGAAGGGTTTAGTTCGAAATTCCAACCACCTGAAGAAGGCCGGAGCGTACAACGGCCGAAACGTTGTGATAAATATGGCAACAAAGATGAAGACAATAGTCCGAATAATGTAAATAATCTACATAGTACCTAATTTCAGAAATATTGACAGACTCTGAAGGAATTTTTTATTCTATTTTTCGTAACCATTTCTCCGAAAAACAAGGCAATAAAGCCACTAAGAATTTAAGTATTTAATATTCCACACACGAGGAATATATGTGGCAAAAGGCCGAGTTTAAGGTGGGTTTCTCCGAGCCCGTAGTCTCGGCCAAAAATATACCCTTTGAACCCGCCTAGACGGGTTCAGGGTCTGTCTACCTCCGCGGACGAAACTTTGCCCTTCGGCAAACCTTTGTCTGGGTTCCTCTCTGACAAAGCAGAGAGTTTGACAGACGTCGAGAATGTATCTCGACGTGTCTCAACTAAGAATTTAAGTGTTTACTGAGTGTTAGATAATATGAGAAAAAAGGAACCCACTGACATTACATTTACATTTTTGAAGATCAAAGTTAACTGGGAAGCAGAAAGCCGGAAAAGAATTCTCCAAATTATAAGTTCAATAGAAGAAACTGTTAGCAGAGAATTCACGGTTATGTCTAGCCATTTCAACTATAAAATGATGAGACCTTGCCGCCAATTTAGTAATACGGTTCAATTCATAAATTATAGGGTACCATATAGGAAAGTTGAATAAAACAATTACCATGAAAGGATTTATAGAAAAGACACAGGGTACCTACGTTACGGAGGCGGGAATGTGACCGAAGCCAAGATGCTAGGTTAGGATCAACAATATTGCAGATTCTTTAGATTTTATCAAGGATGTCTAAATACGGCTAAGCTACTTTACGACTAATCTTATTTTAAAACTGTAGAAAACACCAGGGAAAACATATTTAACAATACAAAGATTTTTAAGAAAATAATTGTGTAGAGAATCATGATTGCATACTGTTGTAACCTAAGGAAGGTTACTGAATTGAATAATCACATGCAGGTTGGTAATGAACGATAATACATAAGACAAGAACAACGCATATAAGATTCGCTAGCGGCGCGTTGAACACGTTGTCAACTGCTAGAAGTCAAGTGAATTTCACAATGAATTTGCAACTGCAGTCCGCTGACCAACACATACAGTAGTTACTACTGCATTAATGAGAATGGGGACATAGCCATTATGCTCTGACACTTACGTTCTAAAGGGTCACAGATTTTGAGATTATTCAATTCGTGTGGTCCTTTTTCATAATCCAATATGTCTTTTTGGGGGATCATTTCAGGTTCTTTTTCTATGCCAGAATATAATATCCTGAGGCAAAGTAAAATCAAATATCTTATTCCCCTCATCTATAGGTTAAATATAGGAGTAGACTTAACTTTCAAGCTGGAACTGGTGACCAATAAACAAATTCGAACTTATACTAGCAGAACACAATTTGTTACCCTTCCTAGATATCAAGCTACACCACGTTTAAAACTAAAATAATTGGGAAAATAAATGTAGCTTACTTATTACTACGGTGGATGCAATGCAAAGACTTGCAGGACA